TAGGCATAAGCCACCACTTGGCCCATATTTTTGTTTTGCTTTTTAATCTTTATACTAAAGACAGGAATGGTTTATGCACCATGCTTACAAATATTAGACCATTTTTTGGCAGTACTGGGTTTGAACTCAGGGCCTTGTGCTTACTAGGCAAGTGCCCTACCGAAGGGGGCGCTGTTTCTCGCGCTCCTTCCTTTGCTGGAGCAAGGTTTTCTCTCTTGCTCCTTGGTTATTACTGGACTAACTGGGCTAAACTGGGGGAGAATGGAGATTTTAGGAAAGACACAAGACAGACAGACAGACAGAAAGTTGGGGTCAGGTGTGTTGTATGCTTGGCTGGAGACGCACAACCCTCATTGCTTCTTTTCTCTACCTTGATTCTTTAAGGCCTTTCTCCTAACCTCTTTCCTTAGACTCACACGGTCCCGTGTTTGCTCTCAGCTTATCTTTAGCTTAACTGCTCTTAAAGTCTTTTGCCCCCAGGCTTGCATTGTCTCATCTCTCTTTAGCGCTCTCAAAGTCTAGGTGCTCAAACTTGCAAACCAGCAGCCGAGCCTAAAAACTGCATATACATAACTGTTAAGGTCTCAGTCCTTAGACTTGCACTGTGCACTGTCCCATGTTCTCTTTGGCTTTTCTTTAGCTTTTCTAAGGCTTTTCAGAAAGCTTTGCTTTCTGAATCCTATGTTAAAGTTCTCAGTGCAGACTTTCTATTAACCCCTCTTTAGCATTTTCCCTTCAACAATTCTTTTCCCTTCAGCAATTTTTCCCTTCAATAATTCTTTTCCGTTCTAAAAGCCTCCCAGACCAAAAGGCCCAAAGTAAAAGCTTCTTCCCAATATTCAAAGGCAAAAAGCCCTCCAAAGCAAAAAAAGCCAAAAGCCAAGCAAAAAGTCCAAGAGCCCAAAGCAAAGCCCCCCCCCAAAGCAAAAAGCCCCCAACCTTCAGTGGGCCTTTTATAAACAGTGGCAAAAGGGGTGGAGCAGAGGCTCTTGGGGAGGGGCGTGACATTGTAACAGGAGAAGCCTGTGTTCCTGCTTCTCTGAATACAAGCTTAGGAGAGAGCAGCTGTTCTGCTTTTTTCTGTTTTGTGCCTGGGCTGTGCCTATCTCGGCCTACAGGTAACAGCAATTAACTGCATCTCGCCTTGCTTGTGTCCAGTTCTCACAAACTTTAATCCACTCCCCACACCCTACCACTTGAGTCATACCCCAACACTTTTTGCTTTAGTTATTTTTCATATAAGGTCTCATGCTTTTTGCCCAGGTTGGCCTCAGACTATGATTCTCCTTCTTATGTCTTCTGCATAGCTTGGATTGCAGGTGTAAACCACCACATCTGGTTTGTTTTGTTGAGATGGTGTCTGCCTAATTTTTTTGTCTGTCTGGCTAATTTTTTGTGGGGACCAGACTTGAACCATGATCCTTCTGATCTCTGCTTATAAGTAGTTGGAATACCCCATAATATTAGAGCATTCTGACTTTGTTTAATTATTCTTAATATCAAGCTTTCTACTTTCCCATATTTCCTCTTACTTATTACTATCTCTTTCAGTTTGAAAATTTTCCATTACCATTTCTTGTAGGATGGTCTGATGGAGATGTATTCTTTCAGCTTTTGTTTGTCTGGGAATGCTTCATCTGCCCTTCATTTCTGAAGGATAACTGTGATGGGTTAACAGTTTTCTCCTTCAGTACTATGAAAATCTCTCTCCTGGCCCATAAAGTTTCTGTTGAAAAGTCTGTTGCCAAAATTCAAGTAGTGTTGGTGAAGGGAGTCCCCTGGCCACTTAGGCTGATGCTAACCTGGGTCATGCTTAAGTATCACAGCTTCAAGGACATGCACAGCCTCACGAATGTGCTGAGCCCATGCCACAGCTGGAGGTGACACAGGCTGAAACATGAGTGTGTCCCACCAGCACAAAGATCTTTTCCTGATGCTGGTGGTCTGGAGGTTCTGACTGACCTTTGGTCTGCATGTGTGGGCCTTCAGTTTCTACTATGTGTTGGCTATCACCATGGCACTAAGTTTAAGACAAAGTCCTGTGCTAATTTTCATTCCCTATTTTCCAGCAAGTGGAGTCTTGCTCCCTGCTCTGCCCCCTGAGGTTGGAGGAGGGATGGCGGAGGCACTCAGCTACCTGAGCTGATGCAGGTCTAGTGGCTCAGTCTATAGGTACTGACCTGGTGGGAAGAGTCATAGGACTCTATCCTGCAGTGGGTTTCACTGTGGCAGGCCTGGTACTGGGTTTGAAGTCTAAGGCTTGGACTTAACTTGCTCATTTCCCCAAATGGGGGGCATCTTCTTTCACATTGGACAACTTGGAGGTGGGGAATGGATACACAGGCAATGTTTTCCTCTCGCCTTATTTAATAGATGGCTTTGTTTTCTTATGAACAGGTATTATGGTCATTCACCTGATGTCCTTAGATCTTGTGAGGTTAGCTCAGTGTGAGAATAGATATTCAGACTGATGTACCTGTGGGGAGATTATCCCTGAATATTATACTCAGCCACCATCTTGCTCTACTTTCCTCCATCTCCTCTTAATGTCCTCAGTGTCAACAGAGGCCCTTGTATAACTATCTCTACCTTTTATTTTCTTCTCCAAATGCTTCCCAGTTCTCCTGAACTTATGCAGACTGTTATTACCTGTAGTCACTGGACCATGCCACATATCTTCCCTATCAAAAATGGCTGTAGGAACTTGCTCTTTTCTCCACTGACAATACTAGGCTACTCTGGAGTGTCCCATCATTAGCTCTTGGCTCAATCCCTACAGAGGGAAATGCTGCGATATCCCTGGGATGTATAGTTTCTTTTTCTTTTTCTACTACTCTGATTTTATAGAGCAATCCTTGAAGAGACTTTCCAGCCACTAAAACAATGGGAAAAACTAATGAGTAATGTCTACAATCCAATGTGCTGAGTGCTGTAAGAGATTATTATGAATTCAATTTTATGGGAGAACAGAAGAGGATTCACAGTTTAACTTGGAGGGTTGGTCTTACTGGGTCAAGCCATTCAGAATTTTGGGCAATCACCACTGCCTCTTTACTTCTGGGAGGGTGTGTTAGTCTGTCTTTTTTGTTGCTGTGACAAATACCTGACAGAAACAATTTAAAAGGAGGAAATACTAATTTTGGCTCACAGTTTCAGTGCCTGGTTGGCTTTTCCATTGCCATGGGCCTGTGGTGAGGCAGAGCATCATGGTGGACAGGTGTGGTGGAGTAAAGTTTCTCATCTCATGGAAGTCAGGAAGCTGAGACAGCCAAACAGGAAGGGGCCAGGGCAAGATATACCTTTCAGAGACATGCTCCCAGTGACCTACTTCCTTTAACCAGGGCCCACTTCCTAATAGCTCATCAATGAAGTCAGTACCCTCATGATCCAATCACTTCTCCTACTGGCTAGGGACCCAGACTTTAACACATGAGCCTTTTGGGGGAACATTCCATATCCAAATTGCAATGGAGGGAGTCACATCTAATATGGTGTTTATAACATTGTGATTAAAATTTGATCTCCTGGAAGATGGGCACTGTGGCACATGCCTATAATTCCAGCTTAGGATGCTGAGACAGAAGGATGGTGTTGTGAGTGATCTATGTCAGAAACATAGGCCAGACATGTCAGAATTTATTGAACAACAAAAAATTTATAAGGTACATCAATTTCATTGGCATTAATTTACCAAGTACTACTGATATCCCTTGGTAGCTAGGGTCATTGGCAATCACAGGTTCTTTTATCACAATCTTAACTACCAGTATTAACTCTCACATTACAATTCACACAATAATATATAGGTTATAGAATGGTTAAGAAAGGGTTAAAGTGGCTCTAGGGTTCAAAGGGGCCTTATTAAAGACAAGGGCAGAGAGTTGATACAGATGCAAAGCAGAATCATGGTGGTTAGTTAAGGTATTAACATAAGCCAGTCATAGAGATATTATGGAAGGAGGGGTGTCAAAGTGAAGAGCTGGCTCTAGGCACAATACTGTTTCAAGGAGCAGAGATGGTTCTGGGTTTATTGGTTCTAGAAGAAGTGCAAGTTGAGTGTGTCACTCAACCAGTGGAATCAAGCTGAGCTGATGTCAAGGGGGCAGAGTAGGGAGTTCATTACCTGTCGACCCAAGACATATGCACTTGATGGTCTGCAGACAGGTTGGTGGGTGCTGCTCTAGCTCAATGTTAGGTATCCTCCTTTTATATGATTCATGTACAGCGGGATTGGTCTGGTGTGTTTGAAGCTTGTGGGCCTGGTTTTCCTGATATGGTTTTGATCTGTCCGTGTGTCCATATGTCCCTGATTTAATCTGATAAATTCACAGTTGATAACTTTTTTTGCATAAATAATCAGTCTGTGCCTCATGGTTTGTACTAGATAAATGGTGGTTGCTCACTTGCACAAACAAGATATAAAGTCATTCAACCTCAGTGCTTGTTCTCAAAATGGAGGAAACTGCTGTTTTATAAAATGGAGTCACTCAGAGCAAGACGCAGCCTGAAAGCTACTGTTCTACACAATGTGAAGTAACTTTGGAGCAGGGTACAGTGCCTGATCGTCACAGATGGTCAATAATTCAATGCCAGTCTGGGCAGCAGAGTGAGACCTTGTTGCAAAAAAAAAAAAAAAACTTCCCTAAAGCCAGATTACCTAGCTTATCGTTTTCATTGTGTAACTTGGGACAGCTCCTGAAGTCTTTTCTAACTCAGTTTCCTCACTTACAAAACAAGGACCCTCAGAGAGTTCTTGTGGAGTTAAGTAATTAAAATATGGCAAAATTTGCCTGTCGCATAGTAAGTGCTCAAGAGATTCTAGCTATTATTTTTGGTCTGTGGCTTCCTTCAGACTTCAGGAGGAGAGGGAAATAATGGCAGTGCATGCGAAGCTTCTCATAGGCTCTGGCTCCTTACACTTGCCCCATCCTCTTAGCTTAAGGGAAGTCGCATGCACCTGCCCACACTGCTCAGGCCTCATTTCTTCCTTCCCCCTTCAGTCTCTTTCCCAGAATGCATGGTTTCTACCAGCCGTGTGGTTGGGCTCTCAGGAACACCTCTCCAGCTGCAACCTTCCAATATACAGACAAATGCATCTTCTGTCGAATGGAAGATGCGCTCATCCTCACGTCAAGAAACTTATATGATAGTGACTTGGAAGAATAAGTCTAGTGTGAAATATTCATCTGCAGCTTTGAATGGTTTCAACAATGCATTTCATTTTAACATTGAGAACTTTAGTCTTCTCATCAAGACAACTAAGCCACAGTACAGCGGTCTGTACCAACTGGAGCTCACCATGGCGTGTGGGAAAACTTCCTCTGAGTGTTTCAACGTTTCCGTATTTGGTGAGTTTCCATGGATACTCACTCTGTCCTTCTGATTCCTGTAGGACTTGTATTTCTAGCACCTTTCTGATGAGAATTTCTGCTTCCAGATCATGTTGAGAAGCCCCGACTGTGGTGGCAGTGGAAGGCCCTGGATGAAGGGATGTGTCAGGTGAATCTGTCCTGCTTGGTCTCCCAGGATGATAATGTGAACTATACTTGGTACAGAGGAAGCGAGGTGATCTCAACATTGAGAAACCTTACCTTTGTGGAGAAGCAGATTGATGCCAATGGGCAGTACACATATACTTGCAATGCTAGCAACGCTGTCAGTTGGAAAAGCAGCAACCTCACCCAGGGCTGCCCAAGAGACCCTCTGAGTAAGTGGAGCATCCCACAACCAGGCTTATGTGCAAGAGAGATCTGGATGTGAGATCCTTTGGCTTCCTCCCCCAGTGCCTTGTAGCCCTTCCTCCACAGGGGCCCAGTTTCTAGACATATGGTTTCTGTAAAGCCAGGACTGTGTTAGTCTGGGAAGAATTCTGTCTTCATCTTCTGGAGATGCACATTTTCCCTCTATATAGAGGATGCCCAGTTGTTTGATGAGATTTGTAATGGCTCTTGACTATAATTTTTTCCTCTGAGAGAGTTATGGAGACCTGCTTCCTCCTGAGTGATAACTTAGCTCAAGCCAGGTAGTTTCCTGGGAGGTAATGATACTGTACAACAGGACCCTGGGTCAGTGGGAAAACCAGGAAAATCACAAGGTATCTAAAAGAGTTCTGGGTTTATTGATTATTCAGAAAGTTGCCTGAGTTAACTTCAGTTTTTATTAGATAAAAAAAGACTTAATGTGTCACCAGCCTGGATATTACAGGAAAAAAAAATAACCACACAATCTCTAACAAAGCTAAGTACTCAGTGAGGAAATAAGAAACAGACTAGACTGAGGCAATGTGTAGTGACAAGGACACCAGCTTTTGGCCCAATCATGGCTTCATCATTTACAAGTTCTGTGATCTCAGGCAGATTCATTAATCTTTGTGAGTTTTTATTTTTCTCTTGGATAAAATAGGAACAACAATAAGAAGAGTCTCATAGGATTGCTGTTAAGATTAAATGAGATAATGTTTGGTTTGTTTTGGTGGGACTGGGGTTTGAACTCAGGGTTTTGAGCTTGCAAAGCAGGCACTCTACCACTTGAGCCACACCTCCAGTTGAAATAATGTTTAAGAGCTAGTCAGTTGGCACCTGGAACATGAGTTCTTTCCTTTCTCCTCTTGGTTGGATTGTGTGTCAGGCTACACGTGGGACACAAACGTTAAATGTAGAAGTTCACATGAGGGAGAGTGATGGAGGTAGAAAAACCAGGAAGGTAAAATGGAAGACTTGTCTTATGCATAGTAAGTGTGTAATGAATGTTAGTCAAGTTAAAGAACGATAGCTAAATTTGCTGTGCACGTTTTACCTATGTCAGACCATATGTATTAACCCCCATAAGTAGGTAACAGCATCTCCTTTTTACAGGTGAGAAGAGTGCGGCTCAGAGAGTTAAATAAGTAGTATAGAGCTTCTAGAATTTATAATCTGGACCAGGTCTGTCAGATATTAATATCCATACTCTTGCATCACTCAGGGGAAGTCACACAGTTGGGCAGAAAGACAACCTTGGTGGTGAACTCATAGGGCATAGGAGCCACACTAGTGAGGAGAGGTTTTTGTTTTATTTATTTATTTATTTATTTATTTATTTATTTTAATGGTAGTGGGGATTGAACCCAGGCCCTTTGCCACTTGAGCTTCACCCCAGGCCTTTTATTTATTCATTTATTTGTTTATTTATTTTTGAGATAGGGTCTTGCTAACTTTTGCCCAGCCTGTCCTCAAACTCAAAACCCTCCTGCCTCTGCCTCCTGAGTAGCCAGGATTATAGGCGCCACCACACCTGGCTGGAGAGTGGGTTTTGAGATAGCCCTGAAGATGACATGAGGGAAGCAAGAAGAAGGGAAATGAGGACTTACTTCTTATGCCTTCTGTATCCCTCAGAATCCAGATTTCTGCCCTCTTTGGTGATCTTCCTGATTCTACTCATACTGCTTACTGGCAGCCTCACTTGCTTTTGTGTGTGGAAGAGGAAGCAGTCACGTAAGTGAGATGTCTTTAAAGGAGGAGCTGTTGCTTGAAGCATCATATCTAGTGACTTGGCCCTGAGTGCAGTGGGCTGTGTCCAGGCACACAGTGCTTCCTCTTCCTGGGGAAGTGTTGGCTTATGTGTGTGCATGGGTCTGGGAAGGCAGCCAGTGGCTGGAAGGTCCTTTCTTCCAGTTCATGCCTGCTGTGGTGGCTGCGGGGATATTTACAGTCTTGTCCTTAATGTGCAGCTCTATCTGTAGGTGCCAGGTTTGTTGGGGACCCCCCAGCTTGATGGAGGAGGTATGTCAGGGATGCTTGCTCTTTGGAAATGCTGGGAAGAGCACTAACCTGACTCCTTTCTAGAGTGCTCTTAAGGTCTCGGCCATCTGTGGTAGAGATGGGAGCTGTTAGAAATGGAACCCTCAACAGGAGACTCCCTGGGGGTTTCTGAAACTGTGTTCTTTGCTTCCTTCTTCCCACAGAGGCCAGCTCCAAGAACTCTGTGACAGTTTATGAAGATGTCAAGAATCTGCAAGTCAGGAGAAATCAAGTAAGGCATTCTAGTAAGGCATTCTAGGGGCTGTGATATCTCTCAACTGGTCTGGAAGATACTCTTGGAGAATGGCCATTCAGAGCAGGGGGACAAAAAGACCTGGACAACTGTCCTTTCAAAGCTATTCTCAGTTTTCCCCCCATTACTTTTCTTCATCAATTTCCTAACTGTGGTCATACAGAAAAGGGGGAAAACAATGGGAGGAGAGAGGATGAAAGGGAAGCAGAAGGGGCATCCTGGTATGGAATTGCACTTGCTGAGGAGGAATGGTACACAACAGAAATCAGAAGCAGAGTGCAGAATGCAGCTTCTTCCTCCCTGCATGGCACCATGGTGTCCTCATTTCTGCTCTGTCTCATCACTGGGTTGAGCCCAAGGAGGAGTGCAGCCTTCTTGTGTTCATTGTATCTGACCACAGTTCTCATTTCCCCGGAAGGTAAGAGCTTACTTTTGTGGGTTCCTTAATTGTTACTCAGGCTGGGGAGTGTGACCAGCCAAAGCATAGCGGTTTTGTGGGTCGCAGTGGCCTGAGATCACAACCTTTTGAGAAGAAGAGGCCCAAGTGTAGCAGAGAGAAACCAGCTTGGTACAGAACCAATGAATCAGAGGGCTCTCCTCTGGGAAGCTCTCACCAGCTTTCTGCAAGGCAGTGGCTAGCTCTTCCAGTCATTCAGGGATGTAGAAGAGGAGGAAGCATCAGAGGGACTGAGCAGGATGTGGTGATAGGCCTAGGGAAAGGCTCAAATCAGTCAGGCAGTGCCAGAGGAGGGGCAATGGGAGTGGGAAGAAATGCCCTCTTCCCCCACCATGTCTGCCCCTTAGTTGGAGGAGGCACATGTTGGGGTTCTTCTTTTCTGGCAACATGGGTGAGGCCCTAAGAGGCCTCACAGAATAGACAAGCAGTTTCTATCCAGCCTATTTCCTCAGTGGGAATGTGGGCAGCTCCTTTATCCTGTTTCCTTGTCCCAATAGGGGCATATTGGGGGTTGAAAACTGAAAATGGAGACTGCTTTTCCCACTGCTACCAGACACGGATACAAATTTGCAAGGGTACATTCATCTGCCCATGGCCACTGACTCCCAAAAGCTTGCATTTCTTTTTTTCCAAAATGAGGATGATTTTAGATTAGGTAAAAAAAGAAGGAAAGAAAATCTCAAGAGAAAAGATCAATTTAGAGCAAAAGAAATCTCTTGGAGACTCAGGTTGCTACCCAGCTTCTGTATTGGGATTCCTCCCACCTGGTCTCAGCCCCTCCTTGTGTTTCTCTACGGTCACCAGGTTTTGGCTTGAAGAAATAAATCCCAAGTTTCATGTGGTCTCACTTTGGGACTCAATTGCTGGAGACAATTCCCATGAGTGAATTCACACCAGAAAAAGCCACAAACTCCTGTTTGATGACAGATGCCCGTGACTGTCCAGCCCCCAAGGACGACTGATGTTTCTCTGGTTCTCTTAGCTTCTTCTTGCTTTTGGGAAGTTCAGCTTCTACCTTGCCTGATGAACACTGCAGGCCTCTTTGGCTCCCTACTAGAGCCGGAACTGGCACCATGTGCCCAGGGACATACAGAGCGAAATGTCTTCACCTCTAATTTCCTGTGGGACAGGCATGAGAGAAGGGCCATATGCTCCCTGCTCTTGGCCTTGGGCCAATGCTTCACCCAGTATTGAAGCCACTCATAGGCTGGCTTGAGGCCAAGGGCAAGCTGGCCATGAAGGCTGGATCTAGAGGGGGTACTTCAAAGTACTGAGTCTTTAAAATGTTTACCACCCCTGAATTTTAGTGCCCTGAGGAAGGACACAGATTACAGCCCTACCTGGAGCTCTGTCCCTTATTAGTGCTTATGTAGCAAATTAGTCCAGAAGTCAGCAAAGGCAAGGAGGGGTTTCTAAATTACCAAAATGAAGGAAGGGGCAGGGATTCCCTTGGGCATATGGCTTGAATCCTGTGACCCTGGGTGGTTCTTTGTTCCTGACACTAATTGATCCAGGTGTTGCCATGAATTACTCTTCTTCCTGTTTCTTCTCATCCTGGGTGAGAGGTTCACCCTAGACCTCTCTCTCCCTGTTAACGCCTTCCTCCTGGACCCCCCCTGTCTGTGCTGTCTCTTCCTACTCACTCCAAATCTGGACAGCCCCTGATGTCTACTCATGTTACTTCATGTCCCTGACTGTTTCTTGTGCAGCAGCAGGAGGAGGAGCAGCAATCTCCTGGACTAGGGGCCACCATCTATGCTATGGTCGAGTACCAGGTACCACTCTGGGTTCTTTAATCCATTCCATTCCCATCCATGGTGTCTCCTAATGCCTCATTCCAGACTTACCCCCTTGAATGCAGAATGGGACCTTGGTGCTCCTGGGGTTCAGAAGACAGCTTCACCAAAGGTGCATTAAGTTGTTTGAAAAGATCACTGTGGCTTTGGAGTGCATTAGTAGAGCTGGAAAGCCCAAGCCAGGCATTTCTCCTCCTTCCATACTTGCCAGAAGGCCTGGCCCAGACAGTCTGTAGGACAAGGAACCTTAGTAGGGGACTCAACTTTTGTTTTTCTTCTGGATGTTTCCAATGATTGGGGTCCTTGTACTAATTAGCCCCATTCCCATTCTAATTGTGTTCAGGAAAGAATTGATAGGTTTTGTTCCCTTTATCTTATTTAGACTTAAAGTAATGCCCATTTTCTTAATAAATCTCACATGACAGCCTCATGAAGCAGTCCTACTACTCTAACACTAACACTTTGAGTAGTTTAAACCCCATATCACAAACGAAGGACTGAGACTCAGGTTAACTGACAGGTTCAAGGCCAGTTGGGCATGGGCAGTAGCAAAGCTGAGCCAAACGTTTTCTGAATTTCCATTCCACCTTTTCCTACATTACTCTAAATCCTAAGCTTCTAGAAATTTATCCACAAACTGGAAAGGCCTCCTCTAACGTTGACAACTAAGATGACTTTATTGATAACCAACACTGGGAGATTTTTCCCAGGGGAGGCTCTGCCTTGTGGTGGACAGTAGTGAAGTTTCTGATAAAAATATAAGGCGAGAAGCAGCAATGCTCTTAAGCTTCGTGGGTAAGCTGCATGGCAAGGAAACTCCATCGTAAGCGTGATCAATATCTGCCAGCTTTCTGGCTTTAGCTGCATTGAACTCCAGGAAGAGGAATTTGAATAAATCCAAGGAAGAATTCGCAGCCTAGGGAGTTAAGTGAGAATGAGCTTCCTCCTCTGGAGCATGTTAAAAGGAGGAAGGTTACCTGCCCCAGAAAGCACAGGTTTTAGGTCCAAGAAGAAAGGTATGGTGCCAAAGGGAGGCATTGAGTTAATGAAGAAAAAGTCCTGTAGAGTCTTGGGTTTGAATTCTGCTTCTCCTGTGTACATCCTGTCTGACTTGGGCTTGTCATCTTTTTGTAAGCTTATCTGTGGCAGGGGGAAAAATTCTGATCATTCCTATATTATAGGAGTGGTATTAAGGGCTAGGGGAGAACAATATGTATGATAAGTGCTCAGCAAATATCTGACATTGCTAACAGGGTGGGACTAGCATTTAGGTTGACTGACCTCCTGGCTAGTCCAGGGTTCTTTTCACTAAAACTTAAAGCTTCCATGTAGGTAGGGCTGAGACAGAGGAATGGAAGAGCTAGCCTCCCTAGGGTTGTGCTGGAACTGTTTCTGAAGTACTTTTTCTTTTCTCATTAGTCTTCTGCTTCTACATCACAAGAAACGAATACGTTATATTCAGTAGTACAGCCTTCCCGGAAGGTGAGTCGGTTCCTCTGGGTGGTGTTATTGATGCAGATATATATTTTTCATGTGCACACACAGGTGTGTTTGTAGGCAGAGTGGTGTGCATGCTCAGTGAGTTGTCCTTCATTGTGTGTATCTAAGCAGCTTCTGTTAAATGACTATTTAAATGTTAATGGGCAGGAGAAATGTCTTTCTAGTTCTATCTGGAGAAAAAAAGAAACAGTTCTAAAACTTCAGGCAACAGTGGATTATAGGATTTTCCAGGACTTTTTGTGGGAGGCAAAGGACAGAGATATGACGAAGAATGACCAAAGGATCCTTAGTAGGTCAGCTGAGGCTATGGCAAGGGATACTGGACAGATTTCTATGTCAAGTATTTCCTGCAATTGGAGGAGTGGACTTCAGTGGAGAGATACAATGCTGATTTCCAGAGACCAAAGTTTCTGGCTAGTGCTCTGCTGGTGGAGGCCTCTGGACAGAGGCAGCCATTGTGGTCTACTCGAATCCGACTTCAAGCTCAGCTCAGAGATTTTATGCATATCTGGAATCACTGAGTTGGGTATTCTGGGAACTCATTCTTTAATTTTTTTTTTTTTTGGTGGTAGTGGGGTTTGAACTCAGAGCCTCATGCTTGCTAGGCCAGTGCTCTACTACTTGAGCCACTCTGCCAGCTCAAACTCATTCTTTTAACTGGTGTGGGAGGGGATAGGAAGAGAAGTGTTGCCATGACTGGAACCCCCAATATGAAACTATAGTCTGTGACATGGCAGAATGGGAAGCTGGAAATCCATAAAACTGTGGAAGTCCAGGTAGGTCAGAGACTGTGTTTGAAGGAGTTTAGGACAGGTTTTCAGACTTTTTATTCAACTTCCTTCCAATAAGTCATTCAACGAACTTGGATCCCACCATGAAAGATATTTATGTTTAATTATATGCTGCAGTATAAGGACATGTAGATGTTACAGGTACCGTGTTTATATGCTTTGTTATTTTATTATGAAAACACTACATACTACTGAAAGTGCTTCTTTTAGATCCAATGATTCCCCAAAGCACTGCATTCAAGCTATGTGCTAGGGTTGGCACTTATGTATGTGCCAGAGTTGTTTCTACTGGGGTGTGTGTGTGTTGAAGAGATACATGGTTTGAGGGAAATTTGCATTAGGACTGCCTGAAGGATATGTGTGCATGTGTATGTGTGTCCCAGGAATGTGTGTTGGTGGATTTTAGGGATATGTGGGTTCTGGGATAATAAACTTTGACTTTGGTTCAAAAATGTCATATCATAGGCCAGAATGCATTGTGCTTCCCCAGAGACCATAAACAACACCATTGCTTCATTCCTGGCAGAGGAAACCCGGGGCCTTTTGGGACCTCTCATGTCAGTCAGAAGTAGCACATCTTTTATTTTGAAGTTAATCGTCTTTACCCTTTTAATTTCCTAGTCTGTATCTAAGAAGAGGAACCACAGCCCTCCCTTCAACCTCACCATCTATGAGGAGGTAAGTTTCTGGAACTCCTTCTGAGTAGGTTTAGTGTCTGTAACATATTCCTGAGGTCCAATTATGAAGAGTGTAGTTATGAAAGGGTCATCCATACAGTCTCAGAGTCGTAGAGATTTTAGGGATCCTCTAGTCCAAATCTTCTTTTTAGAGATGAAAGCACTGATGCCCCAAAAGAGTGAGGATGTAACCCAAAGTCATATCATTTGTCAGTTTTTTATTAAGCAGCTTGCATTCTAAACTGGGGCTGTCCCCAGGCTAGGGCTACTACGGCCCACAGGATGTGTGTATGTGTGTGTGTGTGCATAGGGGAGGCTCAGAGTGGGGAAACAAGTGATTCTAAAAGATTTCCTAAAATTAGCAAGTCATTGGGAGCCATTTCAGGCCGTGGGTGATCTTAAGCTTCTGCTGAGGTTGACATTATTCAAATCACTGAGCCTGACAGCTGAATTGATCCCTATGAGGCTTAAATGGGAGGAAGGAAGAGGGACTCAACATTTAGTGGAATTTACTATACATAAGGCAACCTGTTAGTGTCTTCAGATGAATTATCTCATGTAATGCTCACAGAAAGCTGTAAGATAGAGATACAAGCATACACCTCTGCCCCTCACCCCCTGCATTCTTTGGTGTAAGGATTAAACCCAGGGCCTTGTATTTGCCATGTAAATGCTTTACCACTGAACTATATCCCCAGCCTCTGTACTTCCTATTTATATCCAGAGAAGCTAAGGCATGGAGATCACCCCATTCTTTAGCTTCATAACTACACCCAAATCTCCAATTTTGTCCAACAAAAATGCCTTTGGTCATAAGAGACAAGCTGGGTGGGTGCCTTTGAGGATTACTGGCTCTTCAGTAATAATACAGCATTAAAGCCAAATGGACTGTCCAGGGTTACAGAGAACACTGTAGGGGCCAAGACGACATGAGGGGTCAGGAAGGAGCATGGTGTCGTTAAAAGAGCGCTGGAAATGGAGCAAGAGGAAGTAGATTGGAAGTTCCTCTTTTGTCTCACAGTAGTCATTTACTCTGAGTAAGTTCTTTCTTGCTTGTTTCTTTAACCACTCCAAAGTTCATTTCTTAGTCTGTAAAATGGTAACAATAATAAATATCTTGGATGGGATTGCTATAAGGATCTTGTAGAGTGAAGGTCCCAAGTTTCTCCTTTTCTTCTCTATAGTTTGGAAAGAGATGTTGCAAAGCAAATGACCCTGCCTGGCTGAACCGCAAAGAGCTGGGTAGCTCTGACCTCTATTCCTGATCGCCTCTCTCACACACCAGCATCTGCTCTGGGGATCCGCACAAGGGATGATGCCACATGAATCTCTTGGAAACAGTATCTAGTCTGGAAAGGATACAGAAATTTGCTTACAGTCTATATTTTGATTTGAAAATGAATGATTTCTAACAGGCACTGTAAGAGCAAGGTTGTTACATAACATCTCACAATTTAGAGACAAGAATGAGTGGAGAGGTTGGATTGGTCACATTCTGAGTCTTTAGAATCTACAAAGTGCTGCATAAATGTAGGGAAGGGATTCCATTCCCCTGGTTTTCTAACCTGTTATTTGTTTCCCCACCATATTGATCTGGGATAACCACATTTTTGGTCTCCTCACCCCTCCATGCCTCAGACTCCCCTTCCAAAGCAAGAGAAAAAGAGCAATGAAAGGTGATGGTGACTCAAAGGAAGAGGAAGCAGCTTTCCTTCATGAGCTGCACTATCTGTCTGTGAGCAGCTGCCAGCTTGATGGGGATGGGGGGCAGGGTGGTGCAGAGCCTAGGCTTCACTCAAATGCAGGGGAAACCCTCCCCGATCTCATACCTTTACCTCTGGCCACTTGGCCACAAAAGGCAGCAGGAAGAACTGAGAACAGATTTTGATGCAAAGCAAGCCCATCTCTGAATAGAAAAATCACTCAAAGCATATGCCGTCTTGATAATGGGCAGTTGAGGCCACCTTTGTTCACAGAATATTTGATTTACAAAGTCACATTATTATAAACCTATTTTGGCTTCTATCCAGAAGAAAAAGCTTCTCAGAAATCATATTCTATCTAAGTTCTGAGTCCTGATGAATGCTCTCCATGGTACATGCTAGATGGAGGGCTCAGACAGCTGAGCATTGAAGATGAGGCAGTTGTGAACCAGACACTATGCTGGGTTCCCAGAGTTTTCAGGCAAGGCTATGGAGAGCAGGAAGGCAGGCCTAAGATTCGAGACCACAGAAGGATAGGAGTGAACTGGGAAGGAACTCACCCAGAGACTCCAGCAGGTGGTACTGCTTGGAGTGGGTTCTTCAATTGTCTTGCTGTGCACTTAACATGAATTTAATATAAAACTTTGATGTTATAGAGTCTGAATTCTTTCTTTGAATTAAATTTATGTATTTTCTGTATATTTTGCATTTTTACATTCTATAGCAGCCAAAGAGCACTTATGGGCCATCAATTGACAAGTTTGTTTAAATACTGCTGGAGAGGGATCTGAATTTTTGGTGAACTCTCAGTCTCTGCTCACACTGGGACAGCAGAGAACAAGAAACCTAGGGCCATTCCATCTCACCAAAACAGCAAAGGCATGCAGTAGCTCACTCCCTCCTCATCCTTTCCCCTGGAGACTGTGGCCAGGCTAGTTTCTCTCTGGAGAGGAGTGCAGATGGACCACACCTTAAAGCAAGTGTAAAGAGTAAAAAACCAGAGTAATAAATTCATGGAGTCCTGAGGTAGGTATTCAGAGCTGAGTTGCAGAATCAGGGAGTTTAGTTAGCAGAGGCAACAAATGATGGGGTAAGAATAGTCCAATGAACACCAGATACATTGGCCATTGACTGCTGGTGCTTTTCAAGTGCCTTGTGTTGGCCATTGACTGCTGGTGCTTTTCAAGTGCCTTGTGTTGTATGGGTCTTGAGCTGGCCAGATAAACTTGAGCAGAAGAAGAAAACCTATAGGCCCAGGGCTTTGAGGGATGCTGCGCTCTAGAGGGTGATAGGTACAACATTGACATATTGTTTGTGGATTACTGAGCATCATGAAGATAATGATCCATGCAACAAGCCAATGAAAAAGCAGTAATTAAGCCCCTGTTGAATGTGAAGCACTTCCTGAACCTCCGGGAGCCCTCAAGCATCCTCCAAAGGAGAAGAAACCATATTGACTGCAAGGCCATGTGCAGGCGAGTACAGCAGCAGAGGTACAACACTGAAGGACGAAAGTGGCTCCAAGGTGCATGAAACACCAATGAACACTACAGTATCATGAATAAGTAAGCAGTGCATCCGACAGGCTGGAGGCTGAGGCCACAGCCTGGGGAGAGAAGAGATCTGTTCTGCATCTAGACTGGCAATAAGAAGGGAAGCTCTTGGGGGTAAATTTGGGTATATTATATGAAGGAGGCATTTTAAGCACTTTTAAGAGCTGTCAAAAGAGAAATATACATATTTAAAAAAATACCCAGCAGAACAAAAAGTATTCAGTAAAATTATCTCCTTAACTTGAGATTCCCAGCTCCTCCCCTAGAGATAAACACTGATAAATTTTCAATATTTCCTTCCAGAACTTCTCTATGCCTACATAAGAATATAGACAGACATACATTTTTCTAATCCAACTGGTAGCATACAATATACAACATCCTGGACTTTGTTCTTTGCACTCTATAATGTATTTCAGAGTTCATTCCACACTAGCATAGTCTTTATTTCTTTAAAGTGGTAAGAATGGTCACAGCATGGGCATGCTATGATGTGGTTAATGAGACTATCAAAGTGGACATTCAGGTTATTTCCCATTTTGCATGAATACTTGTGTCTATGAGTGAGAATAGCTAATGGATGTATTTTCACATATATCTAGAAGATGGTATGAAAGATGGTCAGTCCAAGGTCCCCCTTGACCAGGTTTGGTAACTTTAGAGTTGAGAGGAGCAAACAGTATGAGTATGCAAGAGATAAACAGAATAACATATCTGAAGCCCACTGGCTCCAAGAAAGATTCCAATTCTGAAATACTAATGGACTCAGGAGGCCATGGTGTGTGTGTGTGGAGGGTGAGAAGAAGAGGGTGAGGCCAAATCCAGGCAATTCTGAGTCATTGTAGTTTATTCTGATGTGCTTCTGTCTGCAGAGCACCAGGGTTTATGAGTCCTGCTGCTGATCCAACCCCAGGACCACAGGAGAGAGGTAGAAATTGTTTTCAGGTGAAATTTTCATATGTAGGGATTTCAGAAGACTCAGGGTCATCCTGCTGTAGTAGTGGCACTGCCTGTGAAACAAAAGAATGCATAGGAAAATGGTAAATAAAGGCTTGGGAGACTTAGTTCCTCAGTCCTGTGATGGTGAGTGAAAGGAGACAAGGTCAGGCTCTGAATGATCCAGTCTACAGAAGTAGGGTCATGTGGAACAGCCTTTATAGGGAGTCTCTGAATGGTAAAGGCCACAGGTTGGACTCTCTGAGGGCAGCAGTAGAAAGGGTTAGTGTAACAACTCCAGGGGATTCAAAAAATGACAACAAAATGCCCTGCCTTTAAGATGCTACCATTGTTCTGGGAGTGGTGAGGCACACTTGTAATCCCAGCACTTGGGAGGCTGAAATAAGAGGATCTTGAGGTTGAGGCCAGCCTGGGACCTTGTCTCAAAAACAGAAACTACTGTTTAATGATCCCAATCTCTGCCTAGCTGGAGAAACAAGGTAAACATTTACATAAAGACAGTTCAGATGGTAAAGGTGAGATTCCAAGGTAATGGTGTAGACCATTAGAACTTCACGTTCCAGGGGTTCTGAGGACTCCTTGTCTGAACGTGTTTCAGGGAAGGTCTACAGAGCAGATGAGGCCAAGCTGATGCAGAGAGGATCAGGTGGTTAGGTACCAGCAATAGCATGAGGGGGTAGAGTAAACCATCTTGGAGATGTGCAGAGGTGTGTGCCAGAAAATAATAACTAAAGGGTTGAGAGTTTCCTGATCAGGTGGGCAACAGTGGCCTTAGGAGGCATAGAACTAGAATTCTTTGTCCTGAAAATTCTGAAGACAAGGGATAAATACTTTCAGGAACTTGACTGGGAAATGTAGATTTCCACTTACATTGTAGGTGAGGGTGGGGTTAGAGGTCTTAAGTCTCTGAGTTGGTGTGGGTGCCACAAAGGACCGATCAGACATGAGGTGACTCATGGTCATTCTGAAACTCAGAGGACAGACAATATTCATGGTCTTTAAGTTAGGTCAATTTACACACAGCCCAATGACCAGACCAGAGTGGAAAGAAGTGCTGGGAAGGCAGTAAGCAGTACAGATTTGCCCTCAAGGTCAAAGGTGAACTCTGTAGTCGGCTTAACTGGTGGACCAGTCTTGAAGTCAGGATAAGGCACATGATGCTTGAACTCAACTGCATATCTGAGCAAGTGATCACTGAGCACCTTCTATCTTTTTTTCCCCTTTGAAACAGGGACTTTTTATGTAACCTAGGCTGTTCTCAAACTCATGACTCTCCTGCCTCAGACTCCTGGGATTATAGACATGAGCTAGTATGTCATCTTTTAAGGTCCAGTTCAACTTTCTTTTTCTTTTTTTCCACAAAGCCTTTCCTCTATTCCTCAGTGCAGTGATATCTCCCACTTTCAGTGCCTCAAAAGCCCTTGGAACTCCACTCATAATTTGTTGAGTAGTCAGATAGAGTTCTCTCTATTCCCAATTGACTGAATCAACTCCATCTTTCCTCCACCAAAAGATAATTAACAAATCCTCAAGGTCAGGGATAGTGCCTTAAATATACCTGAATCCCCATAGCACTCAGCCTCGTCTGGACAAACAAAAGGTATTCAATAGACATGATTGATTTTCCAATCACAGATAAATAGCATAATTGAGGAACTTTTAGAGTTTTTTGAAAAATCTTTTTTGAATGTGTTACAGAGAGGGAGTTTTGGGGACTATTTGAAAGCAAATGTGTGAATGGGCTCAATGTTTTCAGGAAGTAAAATGGAGTGGGCAACCAGAATTAGTTCAAAGCTAATTGTTTAGTATTATTTGAGATTTTCTTTAAACATGCTGTGGTTCTCAACACTGGAACTACCATCTATGTGACCATAGGCAAAATTAACTGCTCTGAATTTCAGCTCCTTCAGCTCTCACATGTGAATGACAACACATCTCTAGAGGCATGACAAGGGTGGAGGAGAGCATGTTTATTCAATGTTTTGTAAATTGTAAGGCTTTCTATAGAAGTTAGTTATTATTATCATCTTTCTTATTATTAAATGGTAAATTCTATCCTTAAGAGACATTTTTGATATTATAATAAAATCAATGTATTATACTTAATAGCACATTTTCTTGACATTAGGTTGTTGGCTAATTTAAAACTGTTTTGGAACATTGTATGCAAATCTGAATTAAAAAAAAAGAAAAAAAAATTACAGTTATAAGCTAAAAGAAAGCTAGGACTAAGAAAGCATAAATAAAAGTTAAAGTTCATACCTGGAAAAAAAATCTGTTTTGGTAAATAATAATTTTGGTAGTTAGGATTAGGGTAGATACAGATTTATGTTTACATATATATCCTTTTATATAAGATATGTATATATATGACTATAATACAGTGTTTGAGCTTATAGTTTCTCATTCTGGTCAATGTTAAGAACAATCAGCATAACATATCATTAAATATGAAATGTTTAGGCTTTGGCCACACAGGTGAAAATAAGGCATATGTGCTTAAGCATCTCTGCTGACCATGGAGTGTACCAGAGAAGTGTATAGTGGGTAGCTCAAACTCTTCAGCCATGGTAATCTCGGACTTTCAGTTAAAAATGGTCTGGTGAATAGATCCTTACTTTATGCACGTTGGGAATCAGAGAAAATTACTCTCACCTTTTGAGGTCTCTGTACAGAGCAGTAGACTGTGAATGAGGTATCTTTCTTCTGAGGACTTGGGGTCTTTTTCTGTAATAGACCAATAGCACACTGGCTTTAATCATTGAATGAGAGTTTTGCAGAGTTTCACCCTTAACTCTTGAGGAGAGAAGACAATCCACCAGGTTCTGGTCTCACTGTGCAGTGCTCTGGTTCTCTGACTCCTCCCTCATTAATGGCCCAAGAGAGTTGGAGAATGGCTTCCTCTATTCCAAGGGATCCTGAAGTTTGGTAAACATGTATGGAGTCATGAGTCCCTGTTCATATGTCCCTAGTCTTGCCCCCAGCCCTAGGCCCCCAATTTGAAGGAATTTGTCATCCAGGATATCAAATGGTCTTAGAAGTAGTTAATAAAAAGGCTCACCTGTAAAGTACAGAATAGTTGGACATACTCCGGTTGCCCTTCATCTTCACAGTCAACCACTGTGTCATCTGGAGTGATGACATCATACTGTGTTTGAACTTCAGAGGCCAAGTCATCTCCAGTGTCCTCTTGAGTGGCCAAGTCATACACCTCATCTCTTCCATTGGCAGTACTATCTATTTCAGCATTCTGTTCGTCCTCCTCCATTGTGACATTGCTGTCAGAGGAGGTGTCTGAGGTGGGCCTAGGGAGGATGTCTGGTTTCTCATACCCTTGGGAGACCAAGGTATATATTGTGTGGTCAGCTGTGGGTTCAGAACACATTGTGCAGAGTTAACAAAAGTGTGCCAACCCACCTCTACTGCTCTGACTGCTATCCTAGCTAAGGCCTAGAGAACTGGAGAAGTTTTCTTCTGTTTTCCCTCTGTGGGGAGGAGGGTCCACTATGCTCTCCCTTCCTCCTTCCTTTCATTCATTTATTCATTCATTTGATAAACATTCATCGAGTATGACATGTGGTGGATTCAGCAACATTTAATAAGCAGAATTGGCCCAGTTTGATAAATCATGCCAAGCACTGAAACAGGCACTCTGGGGAGACACACAGGTAAACTAAACTTAGTCCCAGAGGTGTTCACTATCTAGCTGGGGATGGTGGTGGTGGTCAGATTCATAATTAAATTATTGATGTAAGGTCAACTGTAACAAGTATCATGTGGAAAGTTTGAGAAAAATGCAGAACTGAACAGACATAGCTTCTGGTTAGTAGGGCAGGAAGGCACTCTTGAAGATGGCAGAATTGAGGGGGGCCTTGAAGTATGGGCAGGATTTTGCTGAGGATTCTTGGTGGAGGGAGCAGCATGATTAAGGTAGGTATGAAACATGGAACACTTCACTTTTGGGAAGGGATGGTATTCAAAATATTTAGCAACTGTAATGCCTAAGCATAGGACAATCAGAATGGTGCCTGACACAAGCAACTAGCATGGCACACTGAGGGGATATCAATTCTACCTTGTGGCACATCAAATAGATCATCTGACCAGAATGTAGAATAAACATGGCTGGTATTTACTAAGTGTTCACTATGTGTGAGGCACTGTTCTACGTGCTTTTCATGAATAAACTTATTTAATCTGCATAAAGTTCCATGAAGCACAGACAAAAACCATACTTAATTTTTGCAGATGAGGAAATTGCAACACATAAAAATTAAGTATGTGCTCAAGTAAGTGGTAGAGCAAGGATTTGAATGGAAGTAGGCTGGTCCATTACTCAATACTAAGCTGTGTGTAGGAAAAAAGCAATAAGGAGTAGTCTAGTCCAGTACTTAGTAGTAATAGGAATACCACCCATTGAGTGACCATTGTGGGCATCACTCCACTTGGTCCTCACAGTAACTTTGATAGGTAGGTACCCTGATTTTGCAAGACTAGCAAATTGAAGCCTAAATTCTGAATTACCCAAGACAAAGAAATGAGCAAAGGTCTAAAACCAGGGTTGGGGGACTGGGCTGTAGTTTCAGTGGTACAGTGCTTGCTTTGCACATGTGAGGCCCTGAGTTTTATCCCCAGCACCAAAAAGAAAAGACAAAAAAATTAAAACAAGGATTGTCTGACCCTAGAACTAGGGTTATGCTGCAATATACCCAAGCACTAGGTTATGCTGCCTGTTGAACAACAGACAAAGGCCATGAAGAGCCACTGATAAAACTGACAGTTTTAGAACAGTCAGACTTGAGTTTTGCAAAGTGGTGAGCAAAAGGACAGAAAAGAGAAACTTGAGAGGGAATGGCCACTTTGGAAACTATTACAATATTTTAGGGAAGAAGTAAGAAAGAATGGGAATAAGGACTGGTTAAATAAATCTGTAGAATGAGCTAAATGGGAGTCTGTTTTAATCTATATTAATATTGCTAAGATATAATGTTAAATTAAAAAAAAATCAAGATTCATAATTGTTACAGATTGCTCCCATATGTAGAGACACATATGCTTAGCAATGGTTATTTCTGGGGGAAAGACCTGGAACCTGGAGATTTGGATTTGGAAGGATATTTGCTTTTAATTGTCTACCATGTGAATATATAACTTTTCAGTTAAAAAGCTATTCAATAAAATAAAAATTGGCGACAGCATGAACTAAGGCAGTGGCTCTAGAGTAAGAGACTTTGGGGAGGTTGAAGAAACGGTGGAGATAAGCTTACTTTGTTAGTAAGCTTAGAGGTGCTGGGGAGTGGGTAGGGAGAAGGGCCAGGGATGATGATGGTGTCCTGTATCCATCTTTACTGCCCCTCCTTTGCCCAGGGCCCAAGGAGGGAGGGCCCAGGCTGGGAGAGATGCTGTTCTTTCCTGCTGGGTGTGATGAAGAAGCCAATGAAAAGCCTCACAGTCCAGCCTCATTCCCAAATTTTACTCTTTCCTATCAGAAAAGTCTACATTGTCTGATAAGTTGAGCCTCCAGGCTTCCACCCATTCCCTCCTATGAGTCTATCTCTTTGGGGGATCCCATGAGATAGCCATGAAGGGGAATTTTTAAAAGCTGGATTTGGTTTGAGTAGGCAGAGTTAGGAGTTCCTTAGCCCTCCAGAGCTCTGAGTTCAAGGTGGTAATTTAGAACACTGTAGTTTGGGAGTGAGGGAGTAAGAACAGTCATCGAGATCTCCACTCGAACATCGGTCAGAACAGTTCCACTTCTACATGCTGTACTCGGGAGTTGCACAGTAGTTTGCTTTAAGAGAGCATTCCTTGCAGGGGTGGTTCAACATATGAAAATCAATAAATGTAATAAACCACATTAACAGAAGCAAAGACAAAAACCACTTGATCATCTCAATAGATGCAGAAAAAGCTTTTGATAAGATCCAACACCATTTCATGAGAAAAGCTCTAAGAAAACTAGGAATAGAAAGAAAGTACCTCAACATTATAAAAGCTACATATGACAAACCTACAGCCAACATTATACTTAATGGAGAAAAACTGAAACCATTCCCTCTAAAATCAGGAACAAGACAAGGATGCCCACTATCTCCACTCCTATTCAACATAGTACTGGAATTCCTAGCCAGACCAATTAGGCAAGAAGAAGGAATAAAAGGAATACAAATGGGTAAAGAAACTGTCAAAATATCCCCATTTGCAGACAATATGATCCTGTATCTTAAAGACCCAAAAAACTCTACTCAGAAGCTCCTAGACATCATCAATAGCTATAGCAAGGTAGCAGGATATAAAATCAACATAGAAAAATCATTAGCATTTCTATACACTAATAATGAACAAACTGAGAAAGAATATATGAAAACAATTCCATTTACAATAGCCTCAAAAAAAATCAAATACCTAGGTGTAAACCTAACAAAGGATGTGAACGACCTCTACAAGGCAAACTATAAACTTCTGAAGAAAGAGATTGAGAAAGACAATAGAAAGTGGAGAAATCTCCCATACTCATGGATTGGTAGAATCAACATAGTAAAAATGTCTATACTCCCAAAAGCAAATTTTTTAATGCAATTCCCATAAAAATCCCAATGACATTCATCAAAGAGATTGAAAAATCTACCGTTAAATTTATGTGGAAACACAAGAGGCCACAAATAGCCAAGGCAATACTCAGTCAAAAAAACAATGCTGGAGGTATCACAATACCTGACTTCAAACTATATTACAAAGCAATAGCAATAAAAACAGCATGGTACTGGCACAAAAACAGACATGAAGACCAGTGGAACAGAATAGAGGACCTGGATATGAAGCCACACAACTATAACCAACTTATCTTTGACAAAGGTGCTAAAAATATACGATGGAGAAAGCAGCTCTTCAACAAAAACTGCTGGGAAAACTGGTTAGCAGTCTGCAAAAAACTGAAACTAGATCCATGTATATCACCCTATACCAATATTAACTCAAAATGGATCAAGGATCTTAATATCAGACCCCAAACTCTAAAGTTGATACAGGAAAGAGTAGGAAATACTCTGGAATTAAGGTATAGGTAAGAACTTTCTCAATGGAACCCCAGCAGCCAGCAACTAAGAGATAGCATAGATAAATGGGACTTCATAAAACTAAAAAGCTTCTGTCACAAAAGAAATGGTCTCTAAACTGAAGAGAACACCCACAGAGTGGGAGAAATATTTGCCAGCTACATCAGACAAAGGACTGATAACCAGAATATATAGGGAACTTAAAAAACTAAATTCTCCCAAAATAATGAACCAATAAAGAAATGGGCAAGTGAACTAAACAGAACTTTCTCAAAGAAGAAATTCAAATGGCCAAAAAACACATGAAAAAATGCTCACCATCTCTAGCAATAAAGGAAATGCAAATTAAAACCACACTAAGATTCCACCTCACCCCTGTTAGAATAGCCATCATCAGCAACACCACCAACAACAGGTGTTGGCGAGGATGCGGGGAAAAAGGAACCCTCTTACACTGTTGGTGGGAATGTAAACTAGTACAACCACTCTGGAAAAAAATTTGGAGGCTACTTAAAAAGCTAGACATTGATCTACCATTTGATCCAGCAATACACTCTTGGGGATATACCCAAAAGACTGTGACACAGGTTACTCCAGAGGCACCTGCACACCCATGTTTATTGCGGCACTATTCACAATAGCCAAGTTATGGAAACAGCCAAGATGCCCCACCACTGACGAATGGATTAAGAAAATGTGGTATGTATACACAATGGAATTTTATGCAGCCATGAAGAAGAATGAAATGTTATCATTTGCTGGTAAATGGATGGAATTGGAGAACATCATTCTGAGTGAGGTTAGCCTGGCCCAAAAGACCAAAAATCGTATGTTCTCCCTCATATGTGGACATTAGATCAAGGGCAAACACAACAAGGGGATTGGACTTTGAGCACATGATAAAAGCTTTAGCACACAAGGGAGGGGTGAAGATAGGTAAGACACCTAAAAAATTAGCTAGCATTTGTTGCCCTTAATGCAGAGAAACTAAAGCAGATACCTTAAAGCAACTTGAGGCCAATAGGAAAAGGGGACCAGGAACTAGAGAAAAGGTTAGATCAAAAAGAATTAACCTAGAAGGTAACACACACGCACAGGAAATTAATGTGAGTCAACGCCCTGTATAGCTATCCTTATTCAACCAGCAAAACCCTTGTTCCTTCCTATTATTGCTTATACTCTCTCTTCAACAAAATTAGAAATAAGGGCAAAATAGTTTCTGCTGGTATTGAGGGTGGGGGAGGGAGGGGGTGGAGTGGGTGGTAAGGGAGGGGGGGGGGCAGGGGGGAGAAACGACCAAAGCCTTGTACGCACATATGAATAATAAAAACAATAAAAAAAAAGAAAATGTGGTTTTTATACACAATGGAATTTTATGCAGCCATGAAGAAGAATGAAATGTTATCATTCGCAGGTAAATGGATGGAACTGGAGAACATTATTCTGAGTGAGGTTAGCCTGGCCCAAAAGACCAAAAATCGTATGTTCTCCCTCTTATGTGGACATTAGATCAAGGGCAAACACAACAAGGGGATTGGACTTTGATCACGTGATAAAGCGAGAGCACACAGGGAGATATGAGGATAGTAAGACACCTAAAAAACTAGATAGCATTTGTTGCCCTCAATGCAGAGAAACTAAAGCAGATACTTTAAAGCAACTGAGGCCAGTAAGAGAAGGGGACCAGGAACTAGAGAAAAGGTTAGTTCGAGAAGAATTAGAAAGTAACACACATGTACAAGAAAGCAATGCAAGTCAATTCCCTGTATAGCTATCCTTATCTCAACTAGCAAAAAACCCTTGTTCCTTTCTATTATTGCTTATACTCTCTCTTCAACAAAATTAGAGATAAGGGCAGAATAGTTTCTGCCTGGTAGCGAGGGGTTGGGGAGTAAGGGAGGGAGTGGGGGGTAAGGGAAGGGGTGGGAGGAAGGGGGGAGAAATGACCCAAACATTGTATGTGCCTATGAATATAATAAAAAAGGAAAAAAGAAGGAGAGCATTCCTTAGCTTTTCCTACTGCCTTGGTGATATTCTGGTGTAATAGGTGTCTACACAGTTTCATAAGGTTAAATTTTAATTAAGTTTTAATTTTGCTCCCACCACAGATTTACTATTTCATTTGCCTTTGTTTCCCTTCCTTTTTTTTTTTTTGGCAGTACCAGGATTTGAACTCAGGGCTTTGTGCTTGCTAGTCAGGCGTTCTACCACTAGAGCCACACTACCAACTGCTTCCCTATTGTCAGAATAGAGAAAATAACTCCATCCACAGAGTAGGCCACCTTCAAGTGATGAAAGTCATTTCTAAGGAACTCAAGAGACCCCAGAGGACGGACTACCCCTCCTAGCTTCAGTGATGTTCCCTACTGGGTCCATCTGGGTTGAAGCTTTTGTTCACCAAAAGTTTGCTTCTTAACCTTTAACAGGCATATGGATCACCTATGGATCTTGTTAAAAATGCAGATTTTGATTCAGTATTTTGGGGTAGTGTCCAAGATTCTATAGCTCCAATAAGTTCTTGGTGATGCTAAGATTGCTGGTAGGCAGGCCAGACTTTAGAGATTCCTTCTTGACTGGGGCCCCATAGCCTGTGTCATTGGTGATATTACCTTGTGTGTCAGCTGGGGCTTCAGCTTGGTTGGAATTGAAGACTGCTGTTGAACCTGAGAAACCAAGTTAGAGAAGGTTATCAAGAGGACTGTGAGGAGAGAGGTGTCTTTGATTCTGTGAGAGTCAAGGAGAGGGGAGACACTTATGGGGACACAAACAGGGAAAAGACTCTAGGGAAGAGTCAGCACAGGACCAAGGGAAGGGATGCCTAGAATCTAGTGTTATCTTTAGCTGAGAGGAAGGCTCTGGAGTTTCCTGCTTTCCTCTGGGAGAGAGAGCTTTAACTCCTCTGTTGGCACCATTAATGAGAGTAGTTTGTCTGCTCCAAGTAATTCTTTCAGGGGCCAGTGCGTCCTTGACCTCCTGTTCTTTTTGGGAATCACTGGGTTTCCACTCCAATACTAAGATTCTAAAGGGAGCTATCAATATTATTAGCTCATCCCCTTGCCTACAATGATTGGTCTAAGCAGCAGCCACTTGACCTTAACCAGGCCAATCAGAGGTATTTCTGACATTTTTCAAACTAGAATTTGGAAGGAAACATCTTTTTCCCTTTTCTGGTGTCAAAGCTATCAGTATGTGTGAGTCTGGAACTACCAGTTGCTGTGCTGTGGTACACCTCTTCCCCTTACCTGCGCTCTTCTTCCCAGCTAGCTGCAGGATCAGTTAAACTGACTCAAAATGAACAGAAAAATGAATAGAAATGAGAGACGGACAGCTCTGGGGAGTTTTTGAACCTCTGGTGATATTTGTCATTAAGGCCAGCTCCATCCTTGCCTCCCCCCAGGCTGAGTATATGAGTCATGATATCACAAATCACACTCCTGCCTCTCCACCACCCGACCCTTTAAAAAATCTAAGTTACTTTGAGTCGGGTTGCAGTTATTTGTAAGCAAAGTGTCTCAACTAACATCCTCCCTCATCATAGCTGGGAGAAGAAACGAGGTCTTGAGAAAGCAAGGGATTATTTAAGGAGAGAAGCCTCCAAAGGTCCCAGGTAAATGGCATTCAGCTGGTCGGTGCCATTGGTCTCAGAAACCCACACTGTTTTTTTTTCTTCCAAATGCAGTAGCCAGAAATCCCAAGAACAAGAAGGATGAAAACCACGGTGAGCACAATCAAATGTTTCTTGCTTTTGTCAGGGCCTTTGAAAGGAAATGTGTGATATTAATACAAATAATAACAAGAGGTAAATGACAAGCAGAACACAACACCCATCCTACCTTACTCTTAAAATCCCATAATATTTCCTAAGATACTTCTTTTCATTCATTCGATAATCATTTTTTTTTGAACAAGCCTCCTAGGTAGAGAGGTTACTACAGTACACAAGGCAGACACAGTCCCTGAGTAGAGCGATTTAAGGCTTAACCAGCATCACAGAATTTTATGTATCTGACCTTTGAACACAGGCTGTCAGTTCCAAAACACCCTCAACCCCCTCACTACAGTGCCCTCTCTGTAAATGAGACAGAGCAGATACGAGCCTTGGGTGGAAAAAATCCAGATTACTCCACATCTGTCCACTAGACTCAGCCAGACACAACCTTATTGGATTCTCAATAGACTTGACCTTTTTTTTCTTCCTTTTTTTTTTTGCTTCCCTCTAGAGAAGAGCACAAGATAGATCTCAAGGTTTCGTTCCTGCTTTTACTGTGTGACCTTGGGCAAGCCTCTTATTCTTTCTGACTCTTGTTTCTTTATATAGTGAGGAGTAATAAGACTGTCTGCTCTGTAGGACTGTTGTAAAGACTGTGCAAAAAAAATGCACAGAGATTTAGAATAGTGACTGGCATTTTAGGAAGAGCAGCCAGGGGTTCCTTTTCAGTTCTCACTCACACAGCCTGTTTTCCTTCACACTTTCCATATCTCTCCATATCAGCTTCCCTTCAGCTCCTCTTCACAAGCTTTAAACGCTGCACTGTCCAATATGGTACCATTGTGTGTGAGCCTTTGAAATGTGACTAGTGTGACTGGAAACTAAATTGGCTTACTTTATGTAATGTAAATTTAAATGTTAAAATGGCTATTCAATTCCTTCTTGAAAAACTGATACATATGTTGGGAACAACTTGGGTATATGAACCTATTGTTCTTACTGCAAATTTTATGAAATCTGAATAAGATCAACTACTTCTGGTGAAAAATTTAGTATCTGAATTGAGATGTGCTGTATAGTGTAAAATACATGCTGGCTTTTAAATACAGCACAAAATGAAAGTAACGTAAATTGTCTCATGAATAATTTTTTGGTACTGAATACAAGTGAAATGTTGATTTTTGGACATATCAGGTTAACTAAAATATTATTACAAATAATTGTACCTGTTTTTTTTTGCTTTTTCTAACATGGATATTAGAACATTAAAATCACATATTTCTATTGAAATGTGATGATCTGAAGGACTCTCCCTTACACTCCTTCACTGACTTTCATAAAGAACCCTTCAGAACACAAACTCTCTTGGATCTGAGTCCCCAGGTTCTGCAGCCTGAGTGAACAGAGAGGGAGTGCAACCTGAACAGATGTTCTTAGAGAAAAACTGGCTGGAACTGTTGCTGACAGGATTGCTGGCTGTGCATGTGAAGTTGGGGTGACTTTCACCACTTTTCCAGGAGACATTGAGTTGCGATCCCTCTTGGGACACAACAGCTTCCTTCTGCAGGTAGGTCCATATGTATATCACATCTTTTCCACCATCCTCCACAGAGCAGGTCAGGTTGACCCTGCAGATGTTGTCCTCCATGTGTATGGAGCTACTGGTGACGTTCGGTTCCTTCAGCCTCCCTGTTTGAGGAGAAAGGCAGAGCCAATGTGGAGTCAGGTCTCAAAACATACTCATGAAGACATGTGTTGACAGTGGGGAGAAGTGACTCCAGGAGCCACAGGCATTTTGGAGTGCACCTGGCCTTCCCACAATCTATGAAATCTCAGGCACATGGCTTCACCTCTGTAGACCCTGATGCTCAGGTGTGAAATAAAGCAGTTAACGAGAAGGGAAAAAAGAACGAAACCACCGTATTCTGCACGCTGCATTTACAGCTGTGCAAAATGAAACAACCCATCAACACAAGCTCAACACTGCCATGCACACAAAGGGCTGGCAGGGCTTACGTTTCTGGTCCTATCATCTAATTTGTTTACTCACGTGAGCGAAGGGATACAGAAAGGGGAGCATAGCACCGGACAGAGTGTGTGCTCAATGAATGTTAGTGCAACTTAAACGTTTCTTTTAAATGTTATTTAAAAATGTCATTTTAAAAAGAAAATTTGTTATTTAAATAAAGATTGAATTACACTTTGCTTTTTAAATAAGAAGGTATTGTTAAAAAAGTAGTTCAATCCCAGCTACTCAGGAGGCAGAGATAGGTAGCATCTCAGTTGGAGGCTAGCCCAGGTAAAATGATAGTGAGATCCCCATCTCAACAGATAAGTTTGACATGGTACAGGCTGGTAATTCCATCTATGCAGGAGGCTATAGGTAGGAGGATTTCAATCTGAGGCTGGTCCCAGGCAAAAATGCAAGACCCTATTAAAAAACATAACCAAATTCCAGGAATGGGGGAAGGGATATAAAGGAGAATGATGGAGGGGGTGAATTCAACTATGATATATTTGATATATTGTTAAGAACTTTTGTAAGTGCCACCTCTGCACAACTGCACCCCTGCACAACAATAAAAAAATTAAAAAAAAAAAACCAAAACAAACAAAAAAGGACCGGGGGTGTGGCTCAAGTGTAAGAGTACCTGAGGCTCTGAGTTCAAATTCTAGTACTGCCAAAATAAATAAATAGTAAGGCTGATTCTGTTTTTTCCCCCAGAAGATTATTATTTTTTACTTAATCTTCTTGCTTGTTCCTTTAGCATTTGAGTCACTATACGTAATAACTGTGAACTTGACCAGCTTGATGCATGTTTTCACAGGATCATGGATGGATGCTGACTCTTTTCACAGGTACCTAGATACCAACAAACTTAGGGAGGGGTTATGTTGCCCATATCTGAAAAATGTAGGTGAAGGAGCTGGTAGACTCAGCCAGGAGTCTGTGAGCCCAGGACCGAGGAAGAAGAATGTGGTTCAGTTTCTCACACTCTGGCATCCAAGTGGCCCATCCTCTCAGATGACATGGTACCTTTAGACATCAAGGGCCTCTCCTCAATGTATTCTGATTCCACCCCAGTCACCCTTATTCAAAATGATCGTGGCCTATAAAGGTACAAGTTGGAGAGTTCCTGGTCCCATCTGAGAATTAATGCAGGACAGGCAAATACCAAAAGTTGGGTGATCTCCTAGTGCGAAGCCTAGAGCAAGGGGCACATAGTGGGTGGGTTTTGCTTAGCTGTTAGTTGTAATTTTTCCTCCTGTGAATTCACTGGTGTGAATTGCCCAATTGTTCTAGTGGTCTGAAGCATTAAGGAAGGAAAAGAGGCCTGAGAGACGAGGGAGGTGGGGAAGGCAGTGGAAGAGAAACCTTTCAGGTAAGGAAGCTGATGATGTATGCTCTGCTCAAAGACTCACTGTAGGGGTGCAGGTTGATGTGCCTCATGCTGGTGACTCTGGAGGCCTCTGAGCACACGCAGGCATGGTAGAGGCCGGCGTCCTCCATCTTCAGCTGGCTGATCTTCAGGGAATAGTCCTGGTCAGAGATCTGCACCCTGTCTTCTTCAGGACCTTTGGGCTTAATGGGTGGATCTGCTTCTTCCCACCTTTTGCTGATAATAGTTGTGTTAGATATCCAGACAATCTTCTCTGTGTCCTTACTGGCCCGGAGTGCCAGGGGCAGGATGATTGGCTCTCCCACGGTCCCCCGCACTGTCTCCCCCATTGGTTTTCCTCTGGAGTCTCCTGGATTTGTAGTTAGAGATGAGACATTGCAGCTTCAACCGCTGTTCTTTCCTCCTTTGACCCTCAGTCAGCCTGAAGGGGAATGGAGCTGTCCTCCTCTTTCTCTTCCCCGCAGCCTTCTCCTCTAATGAGCCATCCCTACTGCTTTGCCACGACCACCTCTTCCACCTGACTAGCCCCCTCCTCCCACTTCTGACACTGCAGGGGACACCTCCATCCGAGCAAAAATCAATCTGGATCCCTAAATCCATACTCTCTTTTCCCTTGTTTTGCCCTTAGAATGTTACAGTGCCCCGAGGAGTCCAAGTCCTGCCAGCCTCTCTCAGGTCCCTGAAGGTAGAAAACAAAGGGTATTTGGAGCTGTCGTCTTCCTTCTCTATCCCATCTGTGTTCTCTCAGAACCTTAAGACTGAGGCCCCACAAACACTCAGACTGCTTCTGGAATCCCCTACAAGACCCACAGGGAGTCATTTACCTGTACAGAACTGCCAGATTTGGACAGGCTGTGAGCGGCTCTGGCTGACAGGGTTCTGGGCTGTGCAGGTGTATATCAGGTCTGGGTCACAGGGATTTGGGGAGATAGTGAGGGTGGAACCCACATAGGATTCAGAAGAGCTGTAATCCTTTGGGGTCCAACTATACTGGACATCTTTTTCAGCCCCCTTCACGGAACACATCAGGGTGATGCTGCAGGAAGTGTTCCCAGACGTGTTCATGGATTTCATGATTACTTGAGGCTCCTGTAGATGCTCTGCAGGGACAATGACATTGAGAAGACAGCTCCCTTTTCCAGCAGAAAAGGGCTGACAGAAGAAGGTGGTGATGATAAGGATTCCGGGGCAACAGAGAAGAGGCCAGTATTACCTGTTCCAGGAAAGTATTCTCTGCAGTCTAGGTTGAGTGCCTCTCCTCTGTGCTTCCAGAATATTTTCTACAGGGATTATCAACATCGCTCAACACGAATAGCAGTATGATTAATTCTCTCCTCCCCCCCCCAACAGTATGCAAACTCCTTATGGACAGGGACAATGCCAGGGTCTGAGCATTTAACACCCAATCTCCCCATAAAAACCACTCATGAATAAATGAATGAGTGAATGACCCAGTCCCAAACACTAGGGAGTGGGAAATTTGGCCTCTAGAATTTGAATTGTCCCTGCCTTTTGGTTTGAATTTAGGACCCACTCTGCTTCAAGACCTTCTTCTTGGTCTTCCTCTTTCCTTTTGTTCCATCTCCTCTATTTATCCTGTGTGTGTGTGTGTGTGTGTGTGTGTGTGTGTGTGTGTGTGTGAGCACGTGCACATTTAGTTAACTTCTGTTTCTGTAAATACATGCACAAAAATTGAAAAGATACAAAAGGATACATAATGGGGAAAAAGTAAGCTTTCTTGCCCCAGCCCCCCTATTTCTTCTGCCCAAGAATTACCATACTAACAGTAGTTACTTTTATGACTTTCTTATCTATCTTTTCAGAGATATCATAGGTGTAATAGTATCCTATACATATTGCCTGGAATCTTTTAAATATTAACAATACCTCTTGGAAATTGTTATAGTGAGTTGATTCATTCTAATTCTATTAGCTATGTAGAATTCTAGTTCCTTAATATGTACACAATGCTTTATAAGTCAATAAAAATGGTCAAACTACCTGACCAAAAAATGGAGTGAATCATGTCCTTCCAAAGTTCATATGTTCAAGTTCTAACCTCCAATATCTCAGAACATGACTGTACTTGGAGATAGATCTACATTTGGAGATAGCAGTAACTAAGTCAAAATGGAGTCATTATAGTGGGTGTGGTAGTACAAATCCATAATCTCAGCTACTAAGGAGGCAGAGATTTGGAGGATCACAGTTTGAGGCCAATTCAGGCAACACAAACAAGCGAGGCATGGTGGTTCACCCGCTTGGTATGAAGCAGACTCCAGGCAGACAGCATGAGAACCTAGCTAAAGAAATAACTAGAGCAGAAAAAGGGCTAGAGAGAGCAGTTCAAGTGGCAGTGTGCCTGTCTAGCAAGCATGAGGCTTTGAGTTCAAACCCCAATATCACCAAAGAAAAAAATGAAGTTGTTAGAGTGGGCCCCCTTCAATATGATTGGCATCCTTATAAAAAGAAGGTATTAGGACATAGATAAAACAAATAGAGGGACAGTCAAGTGAGGACATAAAGAGAAGTTGGCTATTTGTAATGTAAGGAGAGCCCTCAGAAGAAACCATACTTGCTGACACCTTGATTGGCCTCCAGAGTTGTAAGAAATGTACTTTTGTTGTTTAACACACTCAGCCAGCAATATTTTGTTATGGCAACCCTGGCAAACCAATATAGATTTTGGTACCAGCAGTGGAGTGCTGCTATAACAAACACATAAAAGTATAGAGAGTAGCTTTAGAACTGGTTAACGTGTAGACTGAGAGGCATGTTAGAAAATGTTTAGGTTGTTGTCAAGAGACTTTTGATAGAAATGTGATGTTAAAGGCAATTCTGCTGAGGGCTCAGGAACAAAACAGGAGCGTTGTAGGGAAATCTGTTATCTTCTAGATATGTGTATGTTATCATGAACAAAATGCTGGCAGAGATATGAACATTTAAGGTGTTTCTGGTGAGCTCTCAGATTGAGGAAAACATTATTAGGGACTGAGAAAAGAAGATATTTATCAAAAAATGACACAGAACTTGGCTGAACTGTGTTCTAGTGTTTGGAAAAGTAGCATGTTTAAGCAATGAAGTGGATATTTAGCTGAGGAGATTTCTAAACAAAATGTTGAAGATGCTCCCTGGTTGCTCTCTGTTACACAAAAGTAGGAGCAATAACTTGAAAAGGGAATTGTTAAGTAAGATAGAACCAAAATTTGGGAAAATTTCAGACTATCCACTTTGCAAAAGATGAGAAGTTATAACGGGAGAGGACTCCAATATTGTGGCTGGACAATGTTTACTAAAGGGATTATGAGTATGACTTATGGATTCAGTAAACCATCAAAGCAAAAATGCTACAAATTTAGAGGGATCAGAGACAGGACAGAAAGAGGACAGGCTGTCTGCCTTTTGGTATTCCATAGTACAAGCCAATGGAGCTATATGCTATGAGCACATGTGATTCTTCAAAAAAAAAAAAGGGAAGAATGACACCAAAGGCAGTTCATAGGTTATCCGGATGCCACCATCACCTTTGGTCTTGGGGTAGAATGATGCCAAGGACCAAAGGGTGGGACTATCACTCCAGTGAGCAATTTCAGTAAGCCCAGAAGTTAGAACAAGGAGCCCAAGAGGATTATCATTGGGTCTTAAAATCTAATGGAAATTGCCCTGTTAGGTTTCAGATATGCTTTGGAACCTGTGACTCTTCTTTCCAATTTGTCTTTTGGCTGATGGAGTGGCTCAAGTGGTAGAGCACCTACCTAGCCAGCGTGAGACTCTGAGTTCAAACCCCAATACCACAAAACAAAATTAAAAAAAAGAAAACCAGCTTGTCTTTTGGAGTGGGAATTTGTGTCCTATGCATGACTCACCTTTGTATTTTGGAAGCAGATACAGGTTCACAACTGGAGAGGAATTTTGCTTCAAGATGAAGCATATATGATTTAGATGAGATTTTGGAGTTAGTTTATGCTGGAATGGGTTAAGATTTTGGGGGTTATTGGGATTTGGTGACTGTGTTTTGTACGTGTAGGTACGAATTTTGGGAGGGCAGAGTTGTTAGGAATGAATTCCTCCTCAAATTCATTTGTTGACGTCCTTGCCTCCAGTATATCAGAATGCGACTGTGTCTGTTGATAGGGCCTTTAAAGGGATAATTGAGTTAATATGGTGCTGTTATGGTGGACCCTAATATAATATGACTGGTGTCCTTACAAGAAGAAATTAGGACACAAACAACATAGTGAGAGGAAAGACCATATGAGGACACAATGAGAAGACAGCCATTTACAAGACAAAGATAAAGGTCTCAGGAACATAAAAAAGTGCGTATACCTTTTGTCTCAGCAACTTGACTCCATGCATATAGACTATTGATTTTCCTTCAGAATATAACCTACTCCCTTATACACAGAAGGACAAGTGCACAAGAACATTCACTATAGCTGTATTTGTGAGAGAAAATACAGGAAACAAGTAAATATCTACAGGTAGAAGAGTAGTTTCATGAATTATGGCAATTACCTAACATGTAAGGATTTTGTGACTATATTTTCCATTTTTGATGTCTTAAAGAAAAGGAAAATCTGTTTTTAAAAACAAAAGATCAGGCTGGAGTTGTAGCTTAGTAGTAGAGTGCTTGTCTAGCTTGCCTAAGGCCCTGGATTCAACCACCAGCACTAGGGGTAGGAGAGGTATGAGGCTAAAATCCCATACAAGCTCTCTGGAACTCACCATATATGTTCAGGATGAATTTCTTCTCGGTGGTGTGTTTAGAATTCTTCTGGTTTATCTGGGCTTTGAAGGATCCTGCATCATCCCAGGTCAAGTTACTGATATACAAAGAGTAATTCCAGCTAGTGATGTTCAGTCTACCCTGGTAGCTTTTGGCCAGCAAGGATACATCTCCTTTGGGGCGTGCAAAAACTAGAACATTTTGGGGACCAATCCAAGTGATGTCTTCAATCTCTGTGTCCATCGAGAGGTTTAGGGGGAAAGTTACTGAACCACCGAGGATACCTGACATCACTGTCGGGGATGAGTCCTTTCCAGAGGCTGCTAGTCCTGAAGAGATAGAAGAGGGCCTTAGAGGAGCAGCTGGACTCTTCAAGCCAGACTTTATTCATTCATTCACTCAGCAAACGTGTATTGGGCATAAATGCCAGATGATAAGAAATGAAACGAGATTTCTGGTTGCCCTCCTTCTTCTAGGCCCATTCCCTAGTAAAGTTGTTCATTCATTCATTCATTTATTCATTCATTCACCAAACACACTCTTCCATAAAAGTGGGTACAACAATCAGTAAAACAGACCTTCTAGGTTTCTGTTCCATTGGGGAAATTAGCCTTGTTTCTTTGGAAGAATTTCTGAATTTTTCTGAGAATTAATGTATTGTTTGTAAGACTGAACTGTTCAGACATGCATCATCTTCCTCAAGGAATATGATAAAAATTGAATGAAAGCAGGTTGCTGTGAATTACAAAGAACCAGTAAAGTATAAAACAGCACCTTTTAAAAAATAAGATGAGTACCTGGATGCCTAGAGAGATGGAGCAATGGATGGGTGACTGATGGGGCAAGTGACGTAAAACATCAATGGTAGAACCTATGTGGTAGGTATGTGACTATTCACTGTAAAATTCTTTCAACTCTTCTGAATGTTTGAGAATTTTCATGACAAATTGTTGGGGATGAAAGAAGCCTCTCTACCTCTGTTGCAGCCTACCTTCTTCCTGATTGTCCAGGGGATCTCAGATTGCCTTTGGCTTGGTTGGGTTTGGGGTTGGGATTAGTTGATAGCATTGATGTACTCCTGATTGTCTCATTTCGGGCAAGAACCATGTTCCTGATAAACATTGTTGTCAAGGCTTCCAGGAGGCTAGCATTTGGGTAATGTAACTCATTTTCTTGTTCAGACCCTGTGGATATCTTCTGAGTAACCCTGGCTTGAGTTCCCAGATTTCAGGGCTTCTGAGGCTCCGGAGAGCATTCTGGTGATTCTAGACCAAATCAGATGGGCAGATGGGTTCAGGACCAAGGTTACTTCAGGGATTCTGGATGGAAAAATCCATAAAAAATATTAGAGATGCATAAGTACAGCCTGGAGACTCCTCCAGGAAGGAGGCTGAGGCAAACTGAAAATCCAGAGATTTCAGAATGTGTAGACACAGACAATAGACACTGATTGATGTAGATCTTGGGGTTCTCTAACCAGATCAACAACAGCTGAGCACTTAGGTATTGTAAAGAGGCAACTAAGGAGGACATGGGGCTGGGGACCCTGGATGTGAGATTAGTTCAGATTCTGATCTTCTGTGGGCAGAGGCTGAAGGTAGAAGTTGAGTTGGTTTGAGACTAGTTTAAGTTTTTCTAGAGAAGGACTCTTCCTGTTTGGAATAGCTGCTTACAATTGCTAGGTATGTAGACCATCTCATTTAATCATTTAATCCATAAAATTATCCTATAATTAGCCCCTTCTTATAGACAAGGAGTTACAATTTAAAGAGTTTAATCCACTTAACTGAAATTAGAGAAATGATCCGATGCAGAGTCTAGAGTCTATGTGCATCGTACTACTGGAATATGGAAACCATGAATACTGACCACCACTACCAAGAAGATGCTGGGTCTTGGTTGAGTACATGTGATCTATTGTAAGTTCATATTTCCTCACATCAGAAACAAATAAAGCCTCATAAACTGTCAGTGGGAAGAGCAGGATGTGGGTTTTATAGGTCAAATTCTGTTGCAGAAAACAATGCTACATAGCTCCCAGTATAGTGACAGTGTACCAGCCATCTTACTTTGACCCACTCTATTTCACAAATAATAAAAGAGGGCTCAAGTTTGCAAACACTAAATTTGAGTTGCCCACCCCTTAATAATTTCCAAAGAAAATACACGACAGTAATTTTCCTAACAATCATAGCTTCCATTACATGCCAAACACTTTATATGCAGTGGAGGGATATTCCCCAGAAACTAAGCTGGAGTTGGGCTTTGGGGAAGAAAAAATATTGGAGAAGTCTAGTGTATAAGAGTCTTCCAGTACTAACTGAATTCTATGCTTAAGAAATAGAGGCTCACACAGCTAATAGGTGATGGTGCATGAATTTAATTTCAGGTATTCCTGATACTAAAGCAGGGTGTGTCTTCTAACTGCACTGCTTTCTACTTCCTGAAATGACTCCTTGAAGACACAAAAACATCACCTTTTTAGATCAAGAGAATGAGATTTGATGTTATCCATATCAGTGGAACCAGATTATGGGGATGCCTCTTTGTCCTGAGTTGTTTGAAATTTACTGCATTGATCATTTGAGACTTGCAGCACATGGATGTAGTTTATTTCAGGTTCACACAACACATCTGAGGAACACCCCAAGAGATGGCTGTGGGTATAAAATGGTCCTTCTGTTTTCTGTTTTTTTGTAGTGAGCAAACTGAGAGTGAAGGGAGGTTGTACTGGGCCTTGGGGCTGAGGACTAGGCTCCTGGTCCACCTATGCCTGCACCTAGGAATTTTTCTAGAGCTCCCCTCACCCCTTCCCTAAACTCCCACTGCTCTCAGGTCCCCAGTGCTGCCTGCACCATCCTCCCTGAGGCCCTGGGGAAAGAGGGACAGTAGCCACCATGATTTTAGGTGGCCTGAACACCAGGTGCCTTGATTCTGGTCCTGAGGTCTGGGTCATGCAGCTGAAGGATGTTCCCCAGAAACTAGCAGGAATTGGGCCTATATGAGAAGGATGAATGATGGGGGAAAAAAGATTACCCAGATACAGGCTGTCTTTCCCAGGGCTACCTGAAGTCTGTACAGTAATTCAAAATGTCTAGAAGTGAAGTAGAAAGAAGCTCTAGTAGTTTTCCCCAGGAAATCGCAGGTGGCCTGTCATCAGGAGAATTTCCCTAGTCTCTCTGAGGATCTATCCACGCTGTACAGGGAACAAACTCATAACTTAACATCTTGTAGCAGGTAAATGTAAGGGTGAAGGGAACATAGTTTGAGTTCAGAGTTATTTGAGACTGGGATAGAATGTCATTTCCTCAGGGTGCATGAATGTTCTCTGTCTCTCTCTCCCTCCCCGCCTTCCTTCCCTCTCTCACGCAAGCACACACACACAGAGCTCAGAATAATTACCATAGGGAGGGGAGCTTCCTGATTTCACCAACAAGACTCCTCTAGGCATGGACTACGACCAACCTCAGAGGAACATCAATAGCGAGTAGCAGTAGCCATAATGTGGACTTACCGATGAGCAGGAAGAAAAGGATCCATAGGAAAGAAGAAAGTATTTGCAGCTGTCTCTTTTGTGGCTTTTCGGAGAAAGACTCTAGAGTCCAGGAAGCTGTTTGCTTCTTTGGGCCCACCATGATGGTTTCTTTTCAGAGCTCAGGCTGAAGGAGGAAGTACTCACCACAGCTTCCTCAAGTGTGTATGTGCACACGTGTGCGTACATGAGTGCGTGTCTGTGTGTCCCAGGAAGGCTTATTTATGCTGAGCACCACAGACTCCTCCCACCTGCCTAGGTTGGGGTAGCAGCTCCAAATCTATTCAGTGCCTTCCTAGGATTTGCAAACCAATGTTGAACATTCTTGTTTTAACCTTAAGGGTCTTGGGGATTTAAAATTTGTCCCCTAACAATGACTGCTAAAGATCTCCATATCTTGGAACTTACACACTGTGTAATCTCTCTTCTTGAGTATGGGCGGATTTAGCGACTTGCTTATTGAATAGACTATGGCAAGGTGATGAGGTATCACTTCTAAAATTAGATTACCAAAAGGCTGGAGCTTCCATCATGGGTTCTCTCTGTCTCCATCTCTCGTTCTCTCTCTCTCTCCCTCTTTTCCTCTTCCTTCTCTCTTTCTCTTTCCTTCTCCTAGCTTACTCTGAGGGGAGTCAGGTATTAGATTGTGAGATACCTTATGAAGAAAGCCCCAAGATAAGGGATCAAGAGGAGATGCCTCTAGCCAACACAGAGTGAGAAATGATTTCTCCGGCCAACAGTCAGTGAGGACTTGAGTCCCACCCGGAGGCATATGAATGAGATTGGAAGTGCATCTTCTCCAAGACCTTGAGATAACTGCAGCCCTGGGTGACCCCTTGACTATAGCTTTGAGAGAGACCCTAAGCCAGGTATTAGGTTGTGAGATACCTTATGAAGAAAGCCCCAAGATAAGGGATCAAGAGGAGATGCCTCTAGCCAACACAGAGTGAGGAAATAATTTCTCCGGCCAACAGTCAGTGAGGACTTGAGTCCCACCCGGAGGCATATGAATGAGATTGGAAGTTCATCTTCTCCAAGACCTTGAGCTAACTGCAGCCCTGGGTGATCCCTTGACTATAGCTTTGAGAGAGACCCTAAGCCAGAGGCACCCAGTTAAGCCGTGCCTGATTCCTGAGCCACAGAAACTGTGAGATAATAAATGCTTATTGTTTTAAGCTGCTAAAGTTTGGGGATAATTTGCTACACAGCAATAGATAACTAACACAATGGTCCAATATTTTCCTTATTTAGCAAAAGCCAGTTTGTGCAGGCTTCTTGTCAAATAGAAATGAAAGACTATTAATTGATATGGAAAAATGTGCCAGCAAAACTGCACTGGGGCTGATGTTGCCAGTGGAGATGTGAAATTGAATTGAAAAGGGAAGTTGCAGGGGCAGTGCAGCATAATTTTTTTATCCTGCCTTGGGAAACTGACCAAATGGGTTCTTCTGCTTTTTTATCCTATTTAGGCCCTCAAAGATAGGATGATGCCCATATTTCACTGATGAGGGCAATCTTCCTTTGATCTAGTGCTAATCTCTTCTGGAGACACAGTCACAGGCACTCCTAGAAAAAACATTATACCAGCTATCTGGGCATCTCTTAGCCCAGTGATGTTGATACATAAAATTCACCACCACAAATCCACTCCTTGTCAATTTGGTACCCATACTCATCTTCTTAAGCCATACTTAATCCCCATACAGAGACAATAACAGGGTCATAATTCAACCTAATGTGATACAACAATCTTTCCTTGGAAGAGAAGGTAAAGTCCTTGGGAGATGTTTACTCTTTTCTTGAGCCAATTGGGCGATGACTGAGAGAGATGGGAAAGAGGCTGCTCTGTCATGGCTATGGTTTGTTCCCCATAGGTTTTATGTTAGAGCTTGGTCTCCAATATGATGATGCTGAAGGGTGGTGGAATGTTTAAGAGGAGGTGCCTTGTGGAAGGTTGTTAGTGGAGCCAATATCCCTGGAAGATATTAGTTTGCTTTCATGGAGTGAGTTAGTTACCACAAGAACGGGTATTTTGTTTATGTGCCATATTCTTACGGGAAATTACAAGCTGAGATACAGGACATTGAGGCAGTTTAGCAGGAAGCAATGTTTATTGTGCCAGCACAGACCTAGAGGACTCATGTCCAAAGGCTGAGCCCTGAGAACAAAGAGGTCTCACCTTATATATCCTTGCAAACAGGTTACAGAAGCAAAAAAGCAAAGCTCAACCCACATATGGCTGCATGTGACTTCATTGGCTATTTCATTTCCCTAGTGCTATGTGACCTTCATGTTTCAATTCTTTAAGTTTTATCTCTCTGCTTTGCCATCCCCTCCCCCTGTCTCATTGTCAGAACACAGTCTGTCTGTTTGATTTGCATATGTTGAACCATCCTTGCATCCTTGCAACCAATTCCATCATGGTGTCTGATCCTTTTTAATTGTGTGGTTGAATTCAGTTTGCAGTTGAGAATTTTCTGTGTGTGTGTGTTACTGGGGATCAAACCCAGGACCTTGTGCATGCTAGGCAAACACTGAACCACTGAGCTAAATTGCCAACCTCTTACTGAGATTTTTTACATTGAACTCCTGAATTTCACTGGCTCCCTGTTTCATCATGTGATCTCTTTTGCATGCTCTTCTGTCTTTGCAATGCTATCTGCTATGTGATGGAGCCAGAGGCCCTCACTAGAGGCCAAACTTATAGGGCTGCCTGATCTTGGATTGCCAACCTCCAAAGCTGTTACTAAATAAACGTTTCTTTATAAAGTTCCCACCCTAAAGTATTTTGTTGTTGCAACAGAAAACAGACTAACAGAGGCCAACTGGTATCTGCAGAATAGGTCAATATATCCATTTGATTAACATAGTCCTGTTCTTTTGAGATTACCTTTTGGTGAACATTCACACAGGACAGAAATATTTTCAAAGTTTTGCCCATTTAGAGAGGGTTAGCTACATATGTCTTCTCCAAATATCTTTGTCATTAATTTTCTTGTCATAATCCTTCCAAGTCCCTGAGCATCCAGCCCAAGCACTAGCTGCAGTCCATGACTCAATATATAACCATGCATCTGGCCATTTCTCTTCTAAGCCAAATGCACAACAAGGTGCACTGCTTGAATTTGTCCACTTGGAAGATTTCCCTTCACCACCTTCTGGGATATCCCAGAGAGGGGCTACAGCTATTCACTTTTTGATAGTGCCCATCTATCTTGCCCCCCAGTCTTCTGTCAAATGACCTTAAGAACTTCTCATGAGGCCATAGGTACAGACTAGGAGACAGAGGCAGTGCAGTGGTGGGGGGGAGAGGAGCACGGACACGTGGGCCACTTTCTGTAACTTATGGCTTCAGGAATCTGCTTGACACTGATCACATGTATACAGCTTCCATTTGATGGTGGAGTGCTGTTGCACATGCCCAGCTTTGTGGTTTGGAGGATCAGATAACACCCGGTTCAAGATGGGTAACTCAGGTTGTATCATAACTTGGGTATGGTCAAGTGTTCAGTCTCTACTAAAGTCCTGTAGCAGGCTGCATTAGTCAGCTTTGCTTTACTATAATGAAACAGCAAAAGCAGATAATTTTATAAAGACAAAATGGTTTCTGTTTTTTTTTTTAGCTCACCATTTTGGAGGTTCAAGAGCATGTGCTTGCATTGACTCTGTTCTAATGGGGTCCTCATGATAAATGGAAAATGGCAATGGCTGGAGTGTGTGTTGGAGTGAGCAGCCACATTTTGGATCAAAAAGAACACAGAGAATGGAAGGGACCCTCCTTTCCTTCCTTCCTTCCTTGCTTCTTCTCTCCCTCCCTCCCTCCCTCCCTCCCTTCCTCCCTTCCTCCCTCCCTTTCTCCTTTCCTTCCTAGCATCTGTTAGTTTTACAGGGGGGTTCATTGTGACATTTACATATGTGTTTACAATGTATCTTAATTAGATTCATCCCCTCAATCATTCTCCCTCAACCCCTCTCCCTTCCTTCTTAGAGCAATTTCCACAGGTTCATTGTTCAATTTTTATACATGTATACAAAGTACGTCAATCACATTCACCCTCCTTCACCTCTTGGTTTACCTTCTTCCCTCCTACTGGCACCCTTCCCTGGACAGGTGCTTCTTTTTTTTTTAAGTGTATATTGATTTTTCAAGGGGGTTTGCCTTGGTATTTCATACATGCATATATTATACTTTAATCAGATCAACCCCCTCTATTATTTACTCTTTTTCTGTTGCCCTGCTCCTTTGTTATTCAACAGCTTACAGTGCATTTCATTACAATGCATTTCACACAGATGCAATGTATGGCAATGTTTACTCTCTATCATTCTTTTTCCTTTCTTGCTTCCCCAGAGTCTCCTCGGACAGACCTACTGTTACAATCATATCTTCTCTCTCTCTCTCTGTCTGCCTTACTTTGCTTAATATGATGATTTCAAATACCATTCATTTCCCTGCAAACAACATAATTTTATAATTTTATTCTTCTTTGTGCTGAATGATACTCCATTGTGTATATAGATCATATTTTAAAAACCATCCATTGGTTGTAGGGCATCTGGGGTGTTTCCAAAGCTTTGCTATTGTGAATAGTGCTGCATACACATGGGTGTGCAAGTGGCTCTGTTATGTCCTGGTTTATGCCCAGAGTGCATATTATGTGTATGCCCAGAGTGATATTGGCGAGTCATATGGTAGGTTTACTTTTAGTTTTTTGAGGAGACTGTAAACCATTTTCCATAGTGGTTGCACTAATTCACATTCCTACCAATGGTGAACAAGGGTTGCTCTCCCCCATCCTCACCAGCATTTATTGTTGTTTGTGCTATTGTTGATAGCCATTCTGAGTGGAGTGAGGTGCAATCTCAATGTCATTTTGATTTGCATTTCCTTTATGGCCAAGTATATTGAGCATTTCTTCACGTATTTATTGGCCACTTGTATTTCTTCTGAAAACTGTCTGTTCAGTTCATTTGCCCATTTCTTCAATGGATTGTTGATTCTTTGTGGGGTTAGTTTTTTGAGCTCCCTGTATATTCTAGTTGTTAATCCCTTGTCAGATGTGTAGCTGGCAAACAGCCTTGTTCCTTTTATAACA